TATGTTTTATGACCCAGAATATGGAAATTTTGGTGAATGTCCCATGTGCCCTTAAAAATAATATATATTCTGTTGTTTTGAGGAGAAGTGGTCTATAAATGTTGATCATTGGTGTAGGTCTTCTAATACTTTCTGTCCTTGTTCCATCAATTACTGAGAGAGGAGTGTTGGAATCTCTGTGATTATGGGTTTGTCTGTTTTTACTTTCTAGTTTCATCAATTTTGCTTCCTATATTTCAAAGCTATTTTGTTAGGTGGACACATATTTAGGATTGTTACATCTTCTTGGCTACTTAACACCTTTATCATTATGTAATATGGATTTTCAGTCCTGGTACTGTGCCTTGTTCTGAGTTCTACCGTGTGTGATAAAACTATAGCCATTCTACTTTTCTTTAGATTAATGTTTACAATATATGTCTTTTCCATCTTTTACTTTTGGCCTATTTGTATCTTTATATTTAAAATGGATTTCTTTTAGACAATATATAGTAGGATCTTGTTTTATCCAATCTGATAATCTTTGTCTTTTAATTTGTATGTTTTGAACATTTTCATTCCTTGTAGTTATCCATATGTTTAGATAAAAATCTGCCATCTTGCAAACTGTTTTCTATTTGTTCTATCTGCTCTTTGTTCCTTTTATACTTTCTACTTCTGCTTGCTTTTGGGTTAAAGATTTACGATTCAATTTTATCTCCATTACTGGTTTATTACTTAACCCCATTTTTTTTTTAAGATTTTATTTATTTATTTGACAGAGAGATAGCGAGAGCAGGAACACAAGCAGGAGGAATGGGAGAGGGAGAAGCAGGCTTCCCGCGGAGCAGGGAGCCCGATGTGGGACTCGATCCCAGACCCTGAGATCATGACCTGAGCCGAAGGCAGACGCTCAACAACTGAGCCACCCAGGCACCCACTTAACCCCATTTTTTAAAAAAAGGTTAGTAATTGTTTAAAATTTACAGTGTTTGGCTTTAATTAATACTTCAAATAGTATTATACTTTTTCTCATATAGTATAAGAATCTTAGAGCAGTATACTCCAAATATATCCCCCTCATCTTTTGTGTTTTCATATATTTTATTTTTATATGTATTATAAATCCACAATATATTGCTATTATTTTGTATTTAGACAACTGTCTTTAAGGATGATTAAAAATAAGATAATAAGTACTTTTTAAAAAGATCTTATTTATTTATTTGACAGACAGAGAGCACAAGCTGGGGAGAGGGGCAGAGGGAGAGGGAGAAGCAGGCTTTCAGCTGAGCAGGGAGCCTGACGCGGGGCTCAACCCCAGGACCCCAGGATCATGACATGAGCCAAAGGCAGATGCTTAACTAAGGTACCCAGATGCCTCAAGACAATAAGTACTTTTTATGTTTATTTTTATTTTAACCGTTTTCAGAGATCTTCAGTTCTTTGTATAGATCAGTTTCCATCTGGTGTTCTAGTCCCTCTGCCTGATGAATTTCCTACAGCATTTATTGTAGTATAGTCTATTAATGAATTCCCTCAGCTTTTGTAAAAAAGAAGTTTTTCCTTTTTTTTTTTTTTAAAGATTCATTTATTTGAGTGAGAGACAGCGTGAGTAGGGAGAAGGGCAGAGGGAGAGAATCTTCAAGCAGACTCTTTGCTGACCACGGAATCTGACACAGGCTAGATCCCACACCCATGAGATCATGATCTGAACCGAAACCAAGAGTTGGATGCTTAATCAACTCAGCTACCCAGGTGCCCCAAGTTTTTCCTTTTTGAATGTTATTTTCACTGACATAGGATTCTGGATTGGCAGTTTTTTAAATCTCAGTACTTTATTAATGTCCTTCCATTGTTACATGCCTTACATAGGGCAGGTCTACTGTAATTCATATTTTTGTTATCTGTATGTAATGTGAATTTTTCCATTTACTGCCTTCAAGATTTTCTTTTTATCTTTGTTTTTCCAGCAGTTTCAATCTGTTATTTGTTTTTAAAAATCCCACTTGGAGCCTTCTGAGTTCTGTGAATTTTCCAGTTTGATATCTCCCATTTTATCAAGAGAATTCTTAGCAGTTATCTCTTTAAATATTTTGTCTGTCCCAGTGTTCCTTTCTTCTTCTGAGATGCCAATTTATTCCCAGCTCTTGCTTGTGCATGTGCACATATGTGTGTGTGTAACTTTATTCTTGTCCTTCAATTTGGGTAGTTCCTATCTCCCTATATCCAAGTTCACTGATTCTTTCTTCATCTGTCAAGTTTTACTGATGAGCCCAAAGGCATTCTTGATCTGTTACTGTTTTTTTCTTCCAGCATTTCTATTTTATTTGTTCTTATGGTTTCCATCTATCTGTGAAATTCCCCATGTGCTCAAGCATGTTGTCCACATTTTCCATTAGACCTTTTAACATATTAATCATAGACGTTCCTTATTTGATAGTACAAACATCTGAGTCATCTGAGTCATCTTTGTGTCTGGTTCTGTTGAATGCTTTCTCTTTTGATAAAGGGTAGATTTTTCTTGCTTTTTATGTCCTATAATTTTTAAATATTGTTTTTTTTAATTATTCTAGTATAGTTGAAATACAATGTTATGTTAGTTTTAGGGGTACAACATGGTGATCCAACAATTCTATATATTACTCAATGCTCATCATGATAAGTGTAGTCACCATACAAAATTATTACAATATTATTGACTATATTCTCTATGCTGTACTTTTAATCTCTGTGACTTATTTATTAACTGGAAGTCTGTTTCTCTTACCTTTACCTATTTCACCCATCCCCTACATAACACTCCCCTCTAGAAATCACCAGTTCCTTCTTTGTATCTATGAGTCTGTTTCTGTTTTCTTGTTTGTTCATTTGTTTTGTTTTTCAGATTCCACATATAAGTAAAATTATATAGTATTTTTCTTCCTATGACTTATTTCACTTAGCATAATACCGTCTAGGTGTATCCATGTTGTCACAAATGGCAAAAAAATCTCATTCTTTTTTATGGCTAATATTCCATCACACACACACATACACACACATCACATTACATCACATCTTCTTTATCCATTCATCTATCAGGGGACACTTAGGTTGCTTCTATATCTTGGCTATTATAAATAATGCTACAATAAACATAGCAGTACATGTACCTTTCAAGTTAATGTTTCCTTTTTTTTTTAAGGTAAATACCCAGTAGTGGAATTATTGGATAGTATGATATTTCTATTTTTAATTTTTTGAGGAACCTCATACTGTTTTCCATGGTGGCTGCACCCATGTACATTCCCATCAACTGTACATGAAGGTTCCCTTTTCTCTACATCCTTGCCAACATTTGTTATTTTTTGTGTTTTTGATACTAGCCATTGTGACAGGTGTGAGTTATTACGGTTTTGATTTGCATTTCCCTGATGATTAGTGATGTTGAGCATCTTTTCATGTGCCTGTTGGCCATCTCTAAGTCTTCTTTGGAAAAGTATCTAATCAGATCCTTGGCCTTTTTATAATCTGATTGTTTATTTTTGGTGTTGTTTATGTTTTGGATATTAATCTCTTATTGAATGTATCATTTGCAAATATTTTCTCCCATTTGGTAGGTTGCTTTTTTGTTTTTTGATAGTTTCCTTTGCCATGCAAGAGCTTTTAATTTTGGTGTAGTCCCATTTATTTTTGCCTTTGTTTCTCCTGTCTGAGGAGACACATCCATAAATATATTGCTAAGACCAATGTCCAAGAAATTACTGCCTACATCTTCTTTTAGGAGTTTATGGCTTCAGTTCTCACATTTAGGTCATTAATCCATTTTGAGTTTATTTTTATGTATGTGTAAGAAAGTGATCCAGTTTTCCCAACACCATTTATTGAAAAAAACTTTTTGTCATTGTATATTCTTTCCCCCTTGTTATCATAGATGAATTGACCATATAAGTATGGATTTATTTCTGGGCTCTTATATCCTGTTCCATTGACTTATGTGACTATTTTTTGTGCTAGTACCATACTGTTTTGATTACTGTAACTTTGTAGTGTATCTTAAAATCTGGGATTGTGATACCTCCAGCTTTGTTTTTCTTTCTCAAGGTTGCTTTGGCTATTTAGGGTCTCTTGTGGTTCTCTAAGAATTTTAGGATTATTTGTTCTAGTTCTGTTGTCTTATAATTGTTTATACTGAATGCTGGACATCATGTGTAAAATAGTAAAAATGGAGGTAAATAGTATTTATGGCTGAAAATGTGCATGACTCTTCTTTTGTCAGAAAATGTACAGGTCTGAGTTAATTTAGTCAGGAGTCATCTTATTTAGGTTTTATTGTTATGGTTACCTTCAGTACAGCACTGGCTTCAAATCCCTCTGGCATTACCTTGTGCTTAATTTGAAGGATGGGTTGCTCTACTCTTAGCTTTTGACCTCTCTATTCATAGTCTTTACCTCTCCTCCACCAGTGGACACTGCTAATATTTGATACTTAGTGCTTGCTAGCTTGCTGTGGGCCAGGGGATTCCCCGTTGTCTTGATCCAGCCTTAGCTCAGATAAGCCCTATGGCCCTGAATCTTGGTGAATGGGCTTTCTCAGTGATACCAACCCTCCCCTCAGTGATACGATGCCTTTAGTGGCCAGGGTCAGGATGACTTCCTGTTCTCCCCCATGATTAGGGGGGTTTCCTATTTCCTCTCCTGCAGTCATAATGGGTCTTCATCTGAGGACAGTTTTACTACCCTCCCCTAGTGACTTATTGGTGTTTGTTCCACAGGGAAGGAGAGTCAGGCAAGGTTTCGTGTTTTTCTTAAAGCATCAGCTACTCTCCTTCTCCAGGCCTGTACTACTCAAGAAGGCTTTCTCTAGTCCCTTGCCCCATGCTCAATTCTTCTCTTAGGCACCCTGTGAGGTCCAGAGAGAAAAGCCTATGAGTGGATGCAAACTCCCCTGTTAACAGCTTCCAGGGGTTCTAATTTCTCTGTTATCCCACACTCAGTTTTTACCAATTTGTTAAAATTTTTCACTGGATTTTTCTTACCTGTTATTTTAAGGAGTTTGTCATCTCTTTCTTCTGTGTTTTGCCAAAGGTATATTTGCATCCTGTCTTTCCTTGAAGGGGTCTGTCTTTTCATACATTTCAGAAGATTTGGTTGCAGTGTAACTTAGGATCTCTGGTGGGTTTAAGAAAAATTATGATTTTGTAGATCATGCAGTTTTTTCTTGTTCAAAGGGTAGTATGACGCTCTTCCTAGCCTTCTCCATCCTAAGCAAAATTGAGATTCTCTAGTAGTTTGTTGTTGTTTTGAATGTCACAAGCTGGCCCTAAAATTTATATAAAAATGAAAAAAATCAAGAATTGCCAAAACGTTCTTGAAGACCAACAAGCTGATGATAAACAAAACAGTGAATTACTGGTGCAAAGGCAGACAAATAAACCAATGGGACAGAATAAAAGTCCAGAACAGATCCACAGAAACACAGACATTTAATTTACAACAAAGGTGGTACTGCAGAAAAGTAGAGGAAAAAGACAGTCCCAGTGGACAATTAGATAACCACAAGGAAAAAAAAAAACAAAACACAAAATACTTAAAGGCTACCTCACCTAATAACCAAAAAATAATTCCAGGTGGACTGTAGAACTAAATGTAGAAGGCAAAACAATGATAAAACTTCTAGAAATTAATATAGGATAATATCTTCATGACCTTGGGGCACTCCACAAAAATCAATAATCATAAAGTAAAATAATTTGAATTTGTTAAAATTAAGATTATTTGATTGTCAAAAAGACACCATTAGGAGAGTGAAAGACAAATCATAATAAAGTGGGAAAGACATCTGCAACATAGAGCTGACAAGGATTCATAAAACACTCCAACAACATAATAGAAAAATGGTCAAGAGATTTGACTGGACAGCACACAAAAGAGGAAATCTAATTAGCCAATAAATATATGTAAAGGTACTCAACTTCATTTATAACCAGGGAAATGCAAGTTAAAACCACAATGAGATACCACTAAACAACTACCAATAATTCCACTCCCAGAAATAACTCAACAGAAATTTAAGTATGGAATACCAAGAAAATATATACAACAATGCTCAGAGCAGCACCATTTGTAAGAATAAAACATTGAAATCAATCCAAATATCCATCTACAGTGGAACAGGCAAGTTGGGTATATTCCAACAACATAATATTCTACAGCAAATAATATGAATAATTGCTTTATGCAACAGAGACGTGGAGCTCAGAAACAATACAGAGCAGTTAATATAGGGCAAAATAAAAGCAATTAATATACAGCAAAATACTGTATAATTCCATTTAATATAAACTGCAAAAAATAGGCAAAACTATAATGTTGAAGGGTACAAGCTTAGGTCTTATAACATCAGTATATGGTTAACTTTGTAAGGGGAGAGGGAAGCAATTGTGAGAGAAAATACTGAAGCTTCTGTGATGTTGGTATTGGTTTACTTCTTACCTGGTTGGTAGTTACATAGGTGTCCACTTTGTAGACAACTGACCTATATATTTATGTCTCCCATGCTTTACGGTATATATATATATATATAGTATACTTCATTATAACCTCCCCCTCTCCCCCAGAAAGCTTCTGGCCATTGGTGAACTTATTTTTTTTTTATTAGAAGTGTTTCCAATGGAGAGATGCAAGTATCTGAACTCTAATGTACTCTTTGGTTCTGATTTTCTAGGATTCTAGAACGATATTTGGTATGTTTTTTGGAGTGTGGTGATTGGGGGGGGGGGATTCTTCCCCTGTTTGGAACTGAGATACACAGAATTCAGATAAAGGTAAATAATATTACTATATTACTGACAAAAAGCTGGATTAGAGGATATGTGACCAGAGTGGGCTACCAAATGCCCAACCCTGAAATTAGATGGACTTGCCCATCCAAGTCCAAGGCAGAGATGGACAGGTTTCCCTGTAGCCTGCCTCAGAAAGCTCAGGATTTGGCTAAAATCAAAGAAATGCAGACAGAAAGAAATTTACTCATAAGATGCGTCTCTCCTCCTTCCCTGGCATGGGGTGGGGCAGCCTGTCTTCACCTTCTGGAGAGTGGAATGGAAATTCTCTAAACTCTATGGAAATGTGAAGAATAAGGAATAAATATTACCCCTAACAACAGGCAGACTAGCTGTGCTTGACAGTCTATCTTTAAAGTCAGCTCTTTGAAGCTTAGCAAAGGCTGCCATAGGCTAAATTTTAGAACAAGTTTCATTCTTGCTCTTAGAGCTACTTTTTCTTCTTCTACTTATGAACCTGCATATATACTCCAACCACCATCTTTTCAGTGGCTTTCCTGGAAGCATCTGCAGAGACTTGTGGGCAAGGGTGATTTTACATGTAGCTCTTTTCTAAGTCATGTATTTATGAGAAAAAAAAATGATCTTTCCCATTTCTCTATGAGATGTATTAAATTGGCACACAACCTTTAGTGTCTCTGGAGCTTATTTAAATCATTCTTTTTCTAGGTAAAGTTAAGCCTGGTTCAAGTACCTGCTTTTTGGTATTTAGAAGTGCTCAATGATTACTTACATTAGCCTTCTCTCAAAAAAATGATAAAAACAGAAATATATATAAAGTCATTTCCTCCTCACAGTGATGAAGGTTGATTACTGTGTATTCACAAATACTTTTATTCATGATTTTAATTAGCATGGATAATTTGGCCCAAGTCATTTCAGTTCAGGCACAGTAGCACATGTTTGTTTTATTTAATTAAACTTTTATTTTTATTTTGAGGTAATTGTAGATTCACATGCAGTTGTAAGAAATAATGCAGATTCCATTGTGCCCTTTTACCCAATTTCCTCCAATAATAACATCTTGCAAAACTATAGTACAATAGCTCCCAAGATATTGACACTGACACAGTCAAAATACAGAACACATTTCCATCATCACAAGGATTCCTTATGTTGCCCTTTTATAGCCACACATAATTCTCTTCCCTGCAACCCTCCCCCCTTAAATTCTGAAAACCACTAATCTATTCTCCATTTCTGTAATTTTTGTTATTTCAAGAATGTTCCATAAATAGAACCATATGGTATAAAAAATTTTAGGACTGGCTTTTTCATTCGGCATAATTCTCCGGAATTCATCCACATTGTTACACGTATCCATAGTTTGTTCTTTTGCACTGCTGAGTAGTATTCCATGGTATGCATATATCACAGTTCGTTTGACTATTTGCCCACTGAAAAACTCTGCGTTGCTTTTGGCTATTACAAACAAAACCTCCATGAACACTCACATAGTTTTTTTATGTGAACATAAGTGTGTGAAAACATGTTTATAATGACAGGTAACTCTTTGCCGAATTTTCTGGCTATTTAAGCCAGAGACAAAGCAAAAGATGTGAAGGTATTTGCTAAAGGTCATAGACTGCTTCTTTATCAACTAATGGTTCTTACAAGTACTTGCAGCTTTATAACTATCTTGCTACCTGACCTTGGAAAGCCCCCTGAATTTCTCTGAGCCTCAACTAGACAAGATAAATGTTTTTCAAAGTGTACCATTTGAAACACGAACTCCATGAAATGCTCCTATAAGGGGAGAGGGGAGGGTTTCACAGTGCAGTAAGTTTGAGGGAAATGCTGAATACCATATTTCTCTTTTGAAATAAATGAATACTCTTTAGTGTAAAAAAGGAAGGATCCAGTATCCCAGTGCCCAAGTTCAAACTCCAGTTCCAGCACTTGCTGGAACAGTAACCTTCAGCAAGACACTTAACACTCCCATACCTCAGTTTTCTCATTTCTATAAAGTGGAGACAACAACAGTGCCCCACTCATATGAATGGAAGATTAACTATAATAACACAAGAAAACACTTCATAAATTGTTACCTATTATTCTATTTCCATCATAATCAGAATCATCAAAATCAGTATAATCTTGTTAAAAATACACATGTCCAGGCCCCACCCCTGCAGATTATATTCAGTAAGTCTAGGATAAAGCCTGGTCCAGATGAAGCAGAGGTTTATTTATATTAAGAATGTGTCCAAGATAGTCCAAGGCAAGATTTAAATCTAGACCAAACTGACTGATGGAGAGTTGTCATACTTACATCAGCACACAAATTTAGTAAATCCTTTAAATGACTAACTCTGTAATCCCACAAAAAGAGCACAGTTCTTTCCTCAATGGAAGGTTGGGCTTCTAACACAAACTCATGATTCCCCAAAGGGTCGTTCATTAAAATAAAACACATTTCTGTGCAGTTGGTACACATCAGCTTTCAAAAAAATTCCTAAATGTAGCAGTTAGCATTGATATATGAAAATTTTATTTGTGAGTCATTGCTTAGCAAATCAAATCCGAAAATAAGACATTTCTTTAGAAATACAAGAAAACAACTATGATTGCTATTATTCCTGTAGGTTTCATCACCACACTGCTATTTCCAAAAGTCGTCTTATTGTTAAGCACCAGGCAAACTTCCAGAACACTTGGGGAACTCACTCTAGAGGTGGTGGCAATCTTTTTACCACTTCTGCAGCAATCCTCAGGTAAGCTTTGGCCTGGAAAAGAAGAGACTCATTTGTTCTGTATTTCTCCCCAGCAGACATCAAATGACTCATGAACTGTTTGCCAGAGCTGTCTCCTGAACTGAAGAGTGAAAAGGCTGAGTGAGATGAGGAAATTCAGCAGTGAGAGAATGCTGTTGCGTACACTGCAGGTGTGACAGGGAAGACAGGATTTCAGATTATTTAGGGGGCAAATACTTAGAAGGGGACTTTCTGAAAAAATATTTAATACCAGCAATTACTGTTTTTAAGCTCTAATTCCCATGTCAGCAAATCAGCAATCCAGTCTAGTTGTAGAAAAATTACATCCTCCTCTTCTGACAAACTGATATCTTGAGTTAGCTTTATCTTCGGAAAGCATCTTCTTCATCTCTCTGAGAATGGCATCCAGTACCAGCAGTGAGCACCTCATAGGCTTCTTCACCTGCTGAATTTTGGGTACCAGGCAAGAATTCCTGGGATCAGTTGTTACACTCTTCACCTGTGGGATCCCCAGTGCAGCCAAATACTAAGAGCAACCCCCAAGCCACTGTGGGCCACAAACTAAGCCAATGCTTACATGGTCCAGTCAGAACAATGCTCATGACATTTGCACCTTAAAAGTTTTAAATAATTGCAATGCAAATATTATTTATTTCCCCTATCTTATCTATAAAAAGTAACTGTAAGACACAATAGTAAGATCTTCTAAAACCATTAATTTATATACTTAAGAGTTATGAATATACTACCACCACCACAACTACATCTACTATGACTGATAATAGCTAAAATTTACTTGAGTGCTTAATATTTACCAAGTATTGTTTCATTTAAACTCACAGCTACCCTAAGGGATAAATTCTGTCACTAACCCCACTTTATAGATAAGGAAACCAAGAACCAGAAAGGTGAGTGGTCTTACCCAAAGCATTACAGCTAATATGGGATGAGCTGGTCTTTGAACCTAGGCTGACCAACTCTGCGTCTGCATGCTAAAAGAACTATTTGAGGTTCGTTTACCCAGACTTGAAGAAGTGTTTTAAGTGTGTTTCACACATTTTCACTTTTAAAAACCATGCTTGAGCCCTAACAGCTGAATTATGCTTTATTCAGATTTATACCAGAAAAGAGCTAAAATCTTACCTACGAGTTCATTAAAAAAAAAAAAAAAAAAGAACAGTTTTCAAAATATGAATAAAGCCTTATTTTTTTTATCAAGTACCTACTCTACCAAGTACTTTGCATAAGTAATCTCACTTATGTAAAACAAGCATCATCAACTCAACTTGGATAAAGCAAACAACTGGGAGTTGTTTGCTCAAGGTCACAAAGTCAGTAAGTTGGAAAACATTCAAACCTGGGTCCACCTAACTCCAAAGCCTAGATCCTTCTACTACATATTAAACAGTAAGTCCAAAGTACAAGCAATTTTAATCATAATGCTTTTATCCAAAAAATGGTTTCACTCTCTGTTATAGTTAACAGAAACAACAGTTTTGTTTAAAAATGGAAATAATATATACTTCATAAATAAATACTTCTCTTAAATCTAGTGTGCTGATTTTTACCCGTGCATCTTTGTAAATACCTTTTATCTCCTAGTAGCTTTTCTGAGTGTTTAAGCCTAAAATTTTTGTGATGAAAAACGTAAAGTTCACTAAAGCAAGCTGAGAGAAGGCCATCAATCTATCATCTTTAAATTCTTACTTATGTTAAATTAGAGACATAAACCTATCAGACTACACAAAATATTGAATGATTCCAGAATAATCAAATTTGCTACATTTAACCTCTGCTTTTTTTTTTTTAAGATTTTATTTATTTGACAGAGAGAGACACAGAGAGAGAGGGAACACAAGCAGGGGGAGTGGGAGAGAAGAAGCAGGCTTCCCGTGGAGCAGGGAGCCCGATGTGGGGCTCGATCCCAGGACCCTGGGATCATGACCTGAGCTGAAGGCAAACGCTTAACAACTGAGCCACCCAGGCACCCCTTAACCTCTGCTTTTTAATGAACTATCTCCAAGCTTAAACTTTCAATATATCACACTCGAAGTACTGGTTAGATTGTCATTTGCTAAGAAACCACTGAAAGTGCTTAGTTTTACAGTTTCAATGTCTATGAAACTGTTGAGATTGAATTTTTTCAGCCAATGCAGTATCATTTCAACAAATACGTTTTGGTTCTTATCATATGCAAGTTACTGTTTTGGAACTCTGTGGGACGTAATGATACAAAAGGAAGGCAGAGTCCTGTTTCCATAGTGTAGTGGTTATCACGTTCACCTCACAAAAGGAAGGCAGAATAGCTCACTTGTGAAGAGTTGGTGCTCTGAAGTCAGACAGGCCTGGTTTAAAATCTTAGCTCCATCATTTATTAGCTATGAGGCCTTAGGAAAGTTATTTAATTTAACCCTTCTAAGACTCAGTTTCCACATCTCTAAAATGGCTGAAGTAATAGTATCTACCTCAAAGGGTTTGGGGGAATATTAAGTAATAATAAAATATGTGCAATACTGGCACAAAAGAAGCAAATATTAGGGCTGCTATTATTACTATTACGTCCTCAAGTAATTTACAATCTCATTGAAGAGCTCCTACGAACATGTACTCGTAGGTACTTCTGGCTGAAGAACAAGTAAACTAAATCCCTCCCTTTTGTTTAATCCATAACTAGCAAAAAGGCAAATACGTGTATCATATGTAAAAAATATGATTTCGATTTCTCAAACTGTTAATACTCTCTTTTTTCATCAGCTCAAATATATATAAAATAACACTTCTATTTGAGATCTTTTATTGGGCTATCCAGAAGCATGGATAATATGGCTGGATCCTATTTGTCTGCTCTATATTAACAAGTTAAAGGAAAGGGATGGCAATCAAAGTGCAAGAAGTTTTATAGAGAACTTTTTTCCTTTGTCTTTGTTTTTAAATATTTGAAGTTCTACTTTATCATACACAGTCATTTCATATTAAGATTATAAGGTAATAATTTAGAAATTCTAAGATAATAAAGTTTCCACTTATATTTGAAAGTCTTTACCAGGAATACCTTATAGCACACCTTTCTGTATGCCAATATTAAGATTTTTTACCTGATAACAAAAGGATGAAACCACAAAATTATTAGTCAATCATGGGTCCATTACTTGTTTCCTGGACTCAAGTAAAGGCAAAAGGTAGATAAAGTTGAATTAGCAATTATAATCACACAAACAAGAGGCAATGCTACTGAATTTACGAGTTCTGAATCCTAAGTGTCCACTTCCTCTCCCTTCCTCTGTGGCTTTCTCTGGCTGTTATATACTACTATATTTGGAGTTTCAATTATTCCCCTTTCGTTAACAGTGCACATGTTTAGAAGGTTTTGCCCAATGACTGAGGAGGCAGCAGCTTGCTGATGCTTTTTAACTGGTGCTGTAACTCCTTCCAGCTTTTCTGATGATGCCTTAAATCAGCATGAATAATATTTTAAATTAATCATTATGACTATAGTATTTGTGTCCTCTGGAAGTTAAATGTTACTGGAAGAGTGAAGTCCCTAATGCCCAATTTTAAAAGATCTGCAGTGCAGAGAATGACAGCCCTGGAATATGGGGTTGGGAGGAGGGAGTGATGGAAAAACAGAGAAGATGGAGTTAGAAAGAAAACAAAAAAGCTAAAAATGAAACCTTTACTGATTAATAATTTTACTTGTAGGTCAACCCCTAAAAGCAAACAATAAAAAGTGTTGATCTAAGGGGCCAATGATTAACAATTTTATGGGTTCAGTCCCATTAACTTTTGCAGAAGTTTGTCATGTCGGCAAGTATAAACTTTATTCTTTAAATGAAGACATGCAAGTAGAATGGGTATTAAGCTTCCACAAATACAACAGAATTTGCTGAGAGGGCTGTGACGGGCTCCTGTGAGCATATTTCCATTGGTGTTCAAAGGGGAAAAGGGAAGGGGGTTATCAAGAGGCAAGATTCATCACAAGAGTAAACAGAAGGATCCTGTGATATGAATAGGAGGCAAACTGGAAGCTAGTCTAAATATACATCATAGACACTGAACTAATCTTGCTATTTATTAGAAAAGGAAGCAAGTACTGCATTCAGAAGAAAATGTATAGAGTTAGGTGTCCAAGCTGTGAGGGGAAATAGCCTGTAGCACTGTCTTGGACAGTTCTTCACTGTAAATGAACCTCTGCTTCTTCATCTGAAAAATGGAAATTATTATACGTATCTCACAAATGTGTTATGAGACTCAAATAAGATAATGTATTTAATGCACCCAAGTATTGTACTACCTCTTAAAACAAATTAAAGAAATCACAGCTAAGATCTGGAAGGTGATATAATGGAAAGAGGCCAATGTTTGCAAGGAAAAGACTTGTCTATTAATCACATTTTACCATTTATTAGTTCTATAACCTTGGGAAAATTATTTAAATTCCCTGCACCTCAGTTTCCTCATCTGTATAAATGGGGACTATTTATACATTGCATTAAGTTGTTGTGAGCATAAAGTTATGTAAGTAATATGTCTGACAGCGTCTGGTACGTTGTAATTGCTATTATTATTAGGAGAATGATTACTAATAATGAATGTCTGTAATCTAAGAGTAGGAAGTAATAATTTCCATGGAAACAGAATAAACACAAGGCACTATTTTTTTTTCCTTTTCATGGCCATGTCTAAATCTTAAAATTGCTCAGAAGTCTTCATATTTAAGGTTGACAATCTGGTACATGAAATTCTCACTACTTTTGCCAAGACCCCACCAAATCAAATCTAGCACAAACTACAAAGGGTTAGGCTGTCCTCGTTCTCATAAATGTCAGCCAGCAACAGTAAAATAATAGATCTAATGTTTATGCAAATGTAAATGAGATTTAAAAAATTAACTCCAAAAAACCACACAAGCATACTGTTTAGAGTTTTAAATCATACTATCTTTTGATGGTTGCTATATGTTTTCTCTTTTATTACATTCCTTTTACTTCTTTTGAGAAATCTCAAAGAAAAAAGCAATAATGGATAGGTGGGGAAAATATTAAAAAATCTAAACTCGTAATTAATATAATCTTGTAAGTAATTATTCTTAGTCATAAGAAATCACCATAGAATGTCTTTAGTCTGTTCTCGGGAGGCATTTGGAAGTGTGTAATTAAAACACACTCGATTTGGGGGCACCTGGGTGGCTCAGTCACTAAGCGTCTGCCTTCGGCTCAGGTCGTGATCCCAGGGTCCTGGGATCAAGCCCCGCATCGGGCTCCCTGCTCCGCGGGAAGCCTGCTTCTCCCTCTCCCACTCCCCCTGCTTGTGTTCCTGCTCTCGCTATCTCTCTCCCCATCAAATAAATAAATAAAATCTTAAAAAAAAATAAAAATAAAACACACTAGATTTTCATACAACTTTCATCCACTACATAAAGTACACCTATGGTAGCTGGACTGCCAGACTTTAATTAGGAGAGTAATAAAGGGTTATGGTTTTTGCTTATCTGAAAGATTTCTAAGAAAGGCTGAAAAGGAAATTTAACATTTACTACCTATGTCAGAGAAAAGAAACACAGTAAGTGCTATACACTACACACTATTTCCTCAGAGATCATATCCCCAGCAACTCAATCACCTATACCATAACTGTGGACTCTTAAGAAAGGGAAAAGACCTTGGGCTCCTAAAAGAGAGAACTCAAAATGAAGGTACTTAACTTATCCAAGATTCTTGACTTACCCTTACTTTATTTACAGCTTTAATCAACCTCAGCTCTTTTATTTTCTAGTTCACATAAGATTAGAGAAAGGAAGGATGGAATGAAAATAGTAGTAGTTAGGGATAGCCAAAATAACAGTACCATAAAGTTATACCCATTAGGTAAGGAAAAACAAAAAGGAATAATTATTAGAAGGCTGACTGGGGCTTTTCAGCAAAGGAGCACAAAAACTACATCAAAACTGATGTACCCAGATGATGCTTACATAGCTAAGTGCTACTTGGGATAGAAGAGATACATATGATTAATTTTATTCCTACCTAAAAAAGAGAATAAAATAAAAGATTTTATTCTTAAAGTCGGAAAGCTTCAACAACCTTGAAAAACTATCAACTGTATCCCCAACGATGTTGGCTAATGAAACACAACCAGTTTTCGACCTTACCTCCTCAATAGTATTTATTAAAATAAATGTAGTGAAAATCCCATCTCTAATGCATTTATAACAATTTCCCTATATCCAACTCAATATTTCCCCTTTTTTAAAGATTTATTTATTTATTTTAGAAAGACAGAGAGCATGAGCGGGAGAGGCAGAGGGAAAGGGAGAGAAAATTTCAAGCAGACTCTGCGCTGAGCACAGAGCCCGATATGGGGCTCCATCTCACAACCCCAAGATCACAACCTGAGCTGAAGCCAAGAGTCCAACACTTAACCAACTGTGCCACCCAGGCACCCCCAACTCAATACTTTCTTACATTAGTTTCCCTTCTCCTAACAATCAGCTGAACTTCTAATACTGAAGTATGGTAATCTTGGGCAGTTAGATACAGCTAGCCAGCAAAATAAGAATTTTACAAACACTCACTGGGTGATGGCTCTTCGTAGGTGAACTTGTTCAGCTAATAATTCAGAGCAAGCGCTGGTATGCTTACCATATAAAATAGTTATTTAAAGATGCTTTAAATAACTAATCTTTGCTTAATACATGCAATGCAAATAAACTTGATCTTCCCAACTTTCTTTCCAAATATCAAAAAGTATATATCCTATAAAAAGACACTAAAAGACATATTTAAAAACATCACTTACCTCATCACTTTCAGGCTGTGAAAACACAATCGGCTGGCCTGTATCTGAAGTTTCCCTTATATTAAGATGTAAGGGAATGTCTCCTAAAAGAGCCCACCAGACATCCATTAATACTACAAAAGTTTATATAGACATTTGGAATTTCACTATTTGAACTTTGGAAAAAAACCCCAAAATTTAAATTAAATTCATTAAACTCAACTTGAACTATGACTATCCTCAAGTTGCTAAATCTCTAAAAAAGGAATTTCAAATGAAAATTAGGGGCAACATATTCCATTTGAGGGTAGTTCAGGGATTGTATATGTATATATGAAAGCTATGTGGCAGCCAATCAAGGGATAAGGCCTCTGATTTATTCGTTGCTGGAGGTCTTCCAGCAAGAAATGGCTTGGAAGACATTTGTAAAATTATTTCTCCCTGTAATATCTGATATAGACACATCATAACAAACAATAAGAGGAAAATGAAGAGGAAAAGATGGGGAGACAAAGTCGTCCAAAAAAAGTATAACAAAATTACCTTCCTGATGTTGGCAGATGAGTGAGCTAAAAGAACTGCTGAAAAGTAAGGCAGATCTGTTATCTCCACTACCTGCCTCTTTATCCAATGGAAGTATTTTTCTTTTATCATGTATCAATCTATATAGCATTATATATAACTTGTGAACTTGATGAGATCTCAGGAAGTATATAAGAACCTCCACGATACAGACCTGAGGTTGAAAAGGTTGTGTGTCTTTCCTGAGGATATGTTACTATTAGGTGGTAGAATTTAGGGGGAAAATGCTCTGATCCATCATCCAATTGACTCCACAACCCCTTCACAAATGAAGCCTTTCAAAAGGTTTGGACTTAAAATGCAGTAAATGGAGCCGTAAGTAGAAAAGCTGACTCGTCATGGTAAAGCATTCTTAGAACTACTCCAAATCCATGCAAGGGTTACTGAAATGTGTGTGTGTGTGTGTGTGTGTGTTATATAAATAAGTCAGTCAGCACCATGCCAGGCTAAAGCAGGAGTATATGTTACAAAATTACAAATCTATTAGAAGTTATATTATAAAGTACATAGAGGAACATATTTCATTCTCCTCTTGTCAGCAAATTTGGGAATCTTAATCAACTCTTTAAATCTTTCCTAAATGTTCAATAGCCAATGACAAAATACCTGAATATTTTAGTAGTCATTTAAAGATCAGCTTTTCAGTAAATTTGATGTCTAGTCTATAGATCAACTTAAGACTGTAAGAAACTGTCACAGGGGTAAGGGAAAATATGTTAAAGAAAATTCTTAGAAACCCATAAAGCTTTTTCCTTGATTTATGCCATTATAGTAAGGAATCTTGAATGCTTTCATTTCTACTGCAGTAATGGAAGAAAAAAAAAAGCAAAACCTTCTCCTTTATATAGTCACCTATCAATATAGTTTCTGCCTTCTAGAGACTCATAATTCTATCTGTAAGCACAGAAGAGTTGATAAAGAAAGAGGAAAACTTTTTTAGAAAATAGGTGGCACACCATAGTGAGAGTGGTAATGGGCTAACAGCTGTATATCAGAGAAGGATAAAAAGGAGTAATGGTATGGAGAGTGGGTAAAGTGCAGCCTGGCCTTGAAAAGTATCTTTGAGGGGTGCCTGGGTGGCTCAGTCATTAAAAACATCTGCCTTCGGCTCAGGTCATGGTCCTAGGGTCCTAGGATCGAGCCCCACATT